TCACTTCTTTTTAGAATTGTAAAAATAGAATCATCCTCAGTAGTTATTATTATCAGGCTTTTATCAGTTTAGACAGTAAGACTGTTGAGTGAGAGAAAAATCTCACCGTGAATCTTACTCATATTTGGAAAGTAGGATACAGACCCCATGTGCAAACATACTTAATATGCATTTGTATAACCTTCAGGCCCTCGTCGTGAGATTGCTCAATCTTTTTCCAATTCAGTGATTTTCCTTAGGTGTACCAAGTTGCACAATCCCCATATAAATTTACTTAAAATGTAACAAATTACAATTCTTCCTGAATTATTTGGAAGGTCTTGGAATAGCAGGTTAACCAGGATGCTTACCAAATATTACAAGCTTGTTATGGGTACAGTAATTTTTATTTGAAAAGGTGTCACGTGATAATTTAAAAGCATAGAGACACAAAGCAGGTGTCCTGGTTTCGGCTCTGTTTAGCCGCCAGCTACTTCCGTCATCTTTGGTGACACGATGTTCAGCTCTTCTGAGGCTTCAGAGAGCTATTATAAGTGTGTGTAATGTGCGTAAACGGTACTTCACTCATAGTGTCAAATAATTTTTGCCCTTATTACTTACATTTCTTCAATGATGAAGAAGAAATGGTCCCAACTGCCCTAGGACACTCATTCCATTAGAAGTAGGGCAAGCTAAGCAACTTATACCTCTCAGCACTATCCTTAGTAATAATAATGCTTTTGATTAAAATATATCAAAAAAAGCCATTTCTAAATATGCCAGAAGCCTATTGGATATAATTATTGCCTAGTAATATAGCGAATAGCAATTCCCGACATCTTTAATATGTCTCCCTTTTATTTATACAGCTTGCTTATTGAGTGCCTAAAATTTATCATATATTCACATGAACACTTGAAAATATATAGAAAAAAATAACATATGGCCCTTACTTTAAAGTAGCTTACAATTTAGCTTGCATTAAAGATGTAAAACTTGAAAACAAATGAAACGTAGAACAAACAAGAAAATGATTGGTAAGTAAATTGAGTTCCTGATGAAATGACCTACCTCTTGCTTCCCAGCTGGAAGGCTGCGTTAAGGAGCAGAAAATGTTAAAGGTCTTGAGTCACTCAATTTTACTGCACCAAACACCTTCATTAGCAATGACATGTCTGGATTGATCGTCTAAAATCAATATGTGAGCAAGAGCTCATTCCTCAGTAGATGTAAGCCTTTTCTTCTCAATTTTAAAGAGGAAAAAAAAAAGGTGACTCTGTATTAATATTTATAATCTAATTAAGGTCAGTGTTTATAGAAGATCCATATAAAACCATTTTAAGTTGCATATGCTCTCAGGGGGAGCATCCATTGGCTATGACCTTCGCTCTGTGTATCTACTAACTTTGTTATGTTTATCTATACTTTAGTGCTTCAGTTTGTAACTTTTGGTCCCCTGAATAAGATATACCTCAAAGAAGTTACCTTTTTATTGATTTTTGGCATTTTCTTTCAAGTGATATATTAAACTGAACTAAATCAAACTTTTGCTTAGGATTTGAGAATATATTGTATGATGTTGCTGATGAACGTATTGAGACTAATACCTAATATTTAACTTGTTATGCGGTGCATGCTTTTAAAATGACTTCTTCTTGAAGCAAAGCTAGCTGTGAAATGGGGAAATGTTTATAGCATTAGCCAGAGAGAACTGAAGTGTGTTGCCGTAAAATAATTTATGAAAGACTTAATAAAATAACTTCTCAAACATTTAATAAAACAAAAGAAGAACTCTAATCCAAATTTACCTCAGTTTAACCAAGTGCTTACAGTAAAACTCAATAAATCTCTTTGGAAGAGGGGCATTTTCTTAATTACTTTTTATCATTTGAAATTAAAATATAATTATCAAAAACTCCATTTCTAGGGAACTCAATGCCTTCTTCTGACCTCTGCATATATTAAGATGATGTGTGCACAGATTTACACATAGGAAAAAAACCATATATATAAAATAATAAATCTTTAAAAGGGTGTAGAAGAAAAAATGACATTATTTGCTTCCTGCTTCCTCCTTTTCCTGTTTTCAACCCCTTCCATGTAGTATTTTCTTTCTCTCTTCTAAACTCGAGTTTTCTATATTTCTTTATAGTTGATACATTTTTCACTCCTAAATATGTAAATACAACGTGCACAGTGTGTAAAATGTATGTACATTTCTTGTATGTACATGTTTTCAGACTAACAAGCTGGTATGGGATAACCAATTGCAAAGGTCTTTGCTAGGGAAGGTTATTACTCCTGCTCTCAGCATTCTTTAGTTGCCTACATTTCTTTATACAAGGCAATGGCCCTGTAAGATTTTCTTATTCTAATTAGCATGTCTATTTGTATAGTCCTATCTTTTCTAGGATTCACGGTGCTGTTCCTCCGGTTTATAATCTTTCTGCTCCTCCTCTGCAATGTCCCCAAGTCTTAGGTATAGTGTTGTAGATCAGTTTGCTGGGTACTACCGCATGACTACTGTGCATTTGGATGAGTTGTCGTTTTCTGTAATGCCCTATCGGTTGCCAAGAGAAAAGTATGTGGTGAGAGGTGAAAGTTACATTTTTCTGTGTGTGTAAGTATTTAGAATGTAGTTAGGGACTGTGCTGGTATGGGAAAGTGGTAGTAGTTGTAGATTCTCCCATTGAATTTAAGATGTCATTGGACCTGGGTAGTTTGCTAGAATTCCAATACCAGGCATTAGTTTCCTCTTGTTTGCATGGCCTCAAGTTCAATTAGAGTGCTGTTGGTTACCACGAAGATACACACACCCCACTGTTTCATTCATGATGGTTGTTGCTACAGTTCATGGGCATTAGATCCTCTTGGTCCTTTGTTCAAAATGCATAAAGGAAGAAGCTCATATTTAAACAACCTTACACTGCAAAACTTTATTAGGCAGTAAATTGCCTCATTTGCTGATTTTAGTATTGCTGAATGATAAGATAATTAAATGTGTAGAAGGAAAAATATCAATTGACATGTCCATTTAATTTTACTTTATTTACTACGTGTGTGTGTGTGTGTGTGTGTGTGTGTGTGTGTATTCCCACTCAAGGCATGCATGCATGCACACGTATGACATAGCAGGAAGTCAGAGGAAACATTCGAGAGTCAGATCTCAGTTTCTGGGAATAAAATTCGTGTCATCAAGCTTCAGCAACAATTACTTTTGAAGATGTGTTCTTCCATCCCTTGACCCACATATTTATTAATTTCCTTTTTCCTTTTTTATTGATATTTTGAGCTATATATTTTCTCTGCTCCCCTCCATTTCTCCCCTCTCCCCTTCAACCCTCTCCCATGGTCCCCATGTTCCCAGTTTATTCAGGGGATCTTGTCTTTTTCTGCTTCCCATGTAGATTAGACACATATTTATTTCTTAAATGATATGTGAGACAAGGTGTCAAAGACCCCTGCCAATGTGAACTCTTTTTTAAGTGTGTGTGTGTGTGTGTGTGTGTGTGTGAGAGAGAGAGAGAGAGAGAGAGAGAGAGAGAGAGAGAGAGAGAAAGAGAAAGAGAGAGAGAAAGTGTTGTTTGCAAGTATGTGCTCGTGTGTGCATCTTTGCTTATGGCCACAAAAGGTTACTCCCTCCATGACTCTCTGCCTCTTTCCACTGAACTATTTGATGCTTACAGATTTATCTATGCGTTTTAGCCCAAGTCCTTTAAGGATCCAACTGTGTCTACTCCTTTGGTATTGGGGTTACAGAGTACATTGTATCCGCTAGCTCTTATGTGGACACGGTGGATGTGAATTCATGTCTTTATACTTAACAACGGGCACTTTGCTTGTTGAACCACTTCCACAGCCACAGTCATGGGAACTTGTCACTGCTCTACCAAAGATTTCAAACATCTTCATATTTCTGAACAATGTTTTAAACTTTCCTCAAATAAAACCTTTTTGGTTTTGGTCAACAAGCAGTGGGATATGATTAGGTTCTGGTGGTGAAAATATGCAGAAATATTGGTGCATTTTTCTGTTAGTTTCTACCCTTGAACTCTTTGAAAATTTAAGTATTAGTACCAGAAAATGGACCAATCATTTTTGTAACCAGTGTTATGCATTCACATTCACAAACTATGTTTCTATCACACCCCACACATGTCCATGTTTGACCCTTTGCTAAGCCATTTAGACAGTATTGCAGTCTATTAGGTCTTTGATGTTCAGTATTTGTTGGTTTAACCCAGCTTCTTTTGTGGCATCTTTTGTCTGTGTATTGAATTGTGGGAGTCTTCCTGACATGGCACTGAGCATTTACCCTGCTAAGATTTTAGGCCAGTTTAAAACCAAAGCTATGTATAGTTTAAAACAGTTAAAAACCCATACAGCATCTATTAACAAATTGAATCACACTTCATCTTATGTTTTAATCTTCATTGTTTGTTAGCATCCATTCCTTAATATTTCTCCTCCTATCCATGCTATGGATTTGCATTTTCTTAATTTCTTTAATTTTCTTAAAGGTTTTTAGAAGGAAAACGTGATAGTGGTTGTGGGTGTGAGTGTGGGTCTGTTGTGTGCATGAAGGTGTGACAACAAATAAAGAAAATGAAGTCAAATTAGAACAGCAAACCAGTGTACATAATAAAGGTTGAAGGACAGAAAGGTAAGGGGGAAATGATGCAATTATATTACAACCTCAAAACATTTTTAAAAGAAAAAAAATGTGTAAACAGAAATTTCTGTCCTGCCAGGCAGTTCAGTTCCAAAGAAACAAGCAGAGGCTTATATTAATTACGAAGTGTTTGGCCTATTAGCTCAGGCTTATTTTTAAGTAGCTTTAACAACTTAAATTAACCTATAATTCTTGTCTGTGTTTTTAATTTTATCTCCTTCAGAATAGTTTTTTAAAAGTCAATCTCTTTAATGTTGGCTATGCATGTCTCTTCTGAAGCTGAGATTATTGAAGTTTGTATTTGAACTATGTTTCAAGTTTTCCATTTATTTCTTTTCTTCCATTGCAGTGTGGAGACAATCAATGATGGAAACTTCCACATTGTGGAGCTACTGACCCTGGATTCGAGTCTTTCCCTCTCCGTGGATGGAGGAAGCCCTAAAGTCATCACCAACTTGTCAAAACAATCTACTCTGAATTTTGACTCCCCACTTTACGTAGGAGGTGAACTTCCTTCCATATCCAGTGGTCTTCCAAATCTGTGCTTCTCATTATAGATCAAATCTGAAGTTACTGGTGCCTGGTGCCATGATCATTGACACTGATCAATCATTGTAATTGAATGAGATGGGAGTGTCTCTTAAAGGACCATTCGGTCATCTTGGTTTGGGGTCTAACTCAGTATGTCATCGGTCAGAGAAGGGTATTAGTTCTTCATCTATGTCATGCTAGCTAGGTAATTTATATATAGTGTCATTTAATTTTATTACTGTCTGCAGACAGAAGCAGAAAATTGGTTAGTAATTAAGTTAGAAAATTATAAAATAAGACTAGGGAGCCACCTCAGTGTATAAAGTGCTCAAGAACCTGAGTTAAATACCCAGAACCCATGTGAAATACCAGGCATTGTGATTTGCTTACAATTTCAGTGCTGAAGAGTTTGACAAGCAGATCCCTAGGGCATAGTAGATCTGTTTGCCTACTATCCAAATGGGAGATCCAGGGAAATGGGAGAACCTATTTCGAAAGAAAAGGTACAGAGATGCTGAGAAAGGATTCAGAAGTTGTTTTCTAGCCTCCACACACACATGCACATACACATGTGTTCATGTACCTGAACACACACACACACACACACGATTAAACAAGTTTAATACAAAGTAGGAAGAATCTCCAGTGCAGCTCCCTTAATGATGCAGATAATATCAGCTCAACCCAATGTTGTCATGCTGATATTTCTGGAAGTTCATCAAAGTTAAACTGATAGATAATTGTCATTGAAGCTCAATGAAATAATCAGTGGCTCACATTGTAAGATTTTATCAGACTAGTAGGAAGTATATTTGCTTAGATAGGCGTTTATAGTGAAGGAAAAAGAGAAGACCTTGGCAAGGTCGACTGGTGCTAGAAATGGGACAGTCACTCTAAGCAGTAAGAATGAAGTTGGGGAAGAGAGACAAACAGAGACAGAGGCAGAGAGATAAAGAAGTTGGAGGAGAAAAACCTGTAAAGAATAGAACTCTACCATTGTCTGTGTCTGGAAGAGAAAGTGTGAATTAGAGGCAGAATTGTAAAATTCAGGAAAAAGACAATAAGGCATGTGATATTGAATTGAAATATAATAAATTAAATCATCAAGGTCATAAAATTAACTTAATTAACAGATAACTAAAGCCTCTAAACAATTCAACACACCTCAGATAAGCATTTTTATGATGTTCTCAATCTCTATAAAAGACTAACTTCAAGATGCTATTCAATTATCTTTTTTATTGATTTTTATTGAGCTCTACATTTTTCTCTGCTCCCCTCCCTACCTCTCCCTTCCCCTCTTCAGTCCTCCCCCAAAGTCCCCATGCTCGCAATTTACGCAGGAGATCTTGTGTTTTTCTACTTCCCATGTAGATTAAATCTATGTAAGTCTCTCTTAGGGTCCTCATTGTTGTCTAAGTTCTCTGGGGTTGTGGTTTGTAGGCTGGTTTTATTTGCTTTATGTTTTAAACCTTCCAAACCTTCTATGAAACTATTTCTTGTAATTGTGACCTAAATTCAGAATATTTCCATTTTCAATAATTTCAATAATTAAAAAATCATAGAATATTGATGCTGTTATAAAAGGTTAGGAAAATTTCTGCACCTTTCATTCAATTCTATCACTGCTGATAGGGTATTTCCTACATCCTGAGAACCACCTTAATGGATCATCAGTGTCACAAAATTGAAAAATAAATGTCACTTGACAAAGTGATGTCAAATGACAACATGAAGCATACAGACACATTTCTGAGTTACTGATGTGGCATTACAATTGCCATCTTGAAGACTGACTATACTCGGCAAACTAAGTGACCTCACCAGTTCATAGGACTCACAACTATGAGTATTATGAGATACTTTTTTTAAAAATTAGTTACTTGAAATGATGAGTTTTGATTGTATCCATCCCTCCCTCTTTTCCTTATTAATCTATCACGCTTTCCCTAGCCACCCACATCTGTGTCCTTTTTTTTTCTTTAAACAACAAAGCAAAACAAAGTACAGTTTGCGCTGCCCACAGTTGTTCAGTGTGTGACGACTTCTACTGGAGTTTGCTCAATTTCCCTGGAATATCACTTAAATAAGACTTCCCTCTTCCAGTACAAATTATTGTCAGCAGTTCCTAGGAGGTGGGTGGGACTTAGTGCCGCCTCCCCTCTCCATCTGAGATTGCCTCTGGCTTAAATTTCTATTTTCACCCATTCTGCAGTGAACAGAGTTGCCTTGCAGTGTGAAAAGTCAGCCTTGAGGGTCAACCACGATGGAAAAGGGATGAGTTATATATTTTCAGCATTTGCTGGAACCAACATAGTGCTTGCTTCTCTTTTAAATAGTGTTTTTATTTATATGGCACTGCTTTTAGTGGTGCAACCTTTCATTTTCAGGGGAAATTGAAGTAAAACCAGAAGGTAAACAATATTTTCTCTATTTCAAAGTCCCAAAGGAACAGCCTCAAGAATTTTATAAAGCTTTTCCAAATTTGCAAAGCTAAATTATAGTAGACAATTATTTACGTCCAGGTCTTTCTGACCGCAATGCAGCCTGCATTGCCACTTTCTTTTTTACAAAAATCAGCAAACAAAATGGCTTAAGTAATATGGTTTTGCCTTTCCTTCTGAATTTGTCCTTGACTTGAATTTATGGTGCTTTTATTCAAAAATATTTCAATGAATGCTTTAAGAGCTAATGCTTTAATGCTTCTAGAATATGGTCTTTAGGGTTTTTTTAATACAGATAAAATTGTTTGAGACAGAACTTTTTTTAAATGGGGGAAAAATTAAACTCTCAATTGAAAAGTGCTAATCCTCTCAGATTAGAGGTCTCAGAAGAACCCAGAAGCACCTCTGAGTATTCAGGCCTAAGGGAAACCACCTTGGTATTAGCCTTACTGCCCAAGACCACACCCAGCCCATCTACTTCTTCCCCAGAATGTGGTCTCAGTGGTGATTCTGACTGTAAAATGCAAGGAACCCAGAAGACCACATTCCAACTGTCACATGGCAGAGGCAGGGGAGCTGAGTCAACAAAATGAAAACAAGGTTAAGTCTAGTTAAAGCCAGAGCTGTGCCTGAGGAGAGTACCCTCATATATCCTAAACATTGGTCCTTTACAGAAGCATTCTCTGGGAAAAATGCAAACTGGTAATGCAGCTAAGCATGCTCCTGCATTACTGACTATCATTGATATTGTCTTTATGTAACATAAACCAGAAGAATGTTAATGTTTTTCCATCTAATAATTGAACTAGAACACTTATTATAACTATCAGGAGAGTGGGTAAGACAAAGATATAGGTGTCTAGACATAAATTACCAAAATAGTGTTACCTTTGGACAAAAGATTTCAATAATGACACTCTTCCCCTTAGAGTAATTTTAAAACATAAAGAGACTGCAAAGGCGCTTTTTAAAAAAATCTATTTACTGAGTTATTTACTGATTGATTGATGGATTGATTTACTTCCAACTATAAGTCCACAAAATGCAAAAATGTGTTTAGAAGCAAAATCTTGGATTACAGAATCCAAGGATTGGCTGAAGCAATGGTGTTTATGGTTCCAGGCCGTCCTCAGCTGTGCTGTAAATTACAGCTTCATTAAATAAAGATCTGCTTCTGTTTATCAGCTAAAAACCAGTGCTCTAACTATGCATTTGAAAGTTCTGCCCAGAATAGTTCTTGGTTACAGGGGTAATTCAAGGTAGAACATGTGGTTAGTATGTTAGTGGAAGGTGTATGGGTCCAATCCTCAGGTCCAAAAATAACTGAGAAAAGGTTTTAATTTTATAGGCTATTGAAAGCTGAGTCTGTATATGGTGTGTAGCTGTGTTGTTTTATAGATTTTTTTTTTAACCATCAAAACTACACCATCTGTGGTTGTAAGCTTTGGGACTAAATGAAACAAGTTCATGCATTGCTTCTCCCTGCTGAGGACCTTTGCCAGTCTCAATTTAGTCTGGATACGTGCACAAATAAATGTCATATCTCCATCCAAATGGGCATCAAAAATAGCTTTGGAAGATGTCCATTTTTAACTGTTTTAAGAAATGACCCAAAATAAGGGTCATGTTTGTGATGGGTAAACGCAATTTAAAAAGACTTTCCCCACAGGAAAAAATTTCCTGTCAGTGGTACTCTTCTGGAAATGGTCAACGGCCTGCCTCAAGCTTGGTGTAGTAGTACACTCTCCACAGCCAGACACAGATCTTTAAATTAAAGACAAACAACCCAGGACCTCTTCTAGTGTGGCTGTGCACCCCCACATCAGAATCACTTGTGTTGCATATTGACATTTAGAATTTTGCGCTTGTCCTCTTCCACCTAAGATCAGCATCTCAGGATAGGCAGGGACAGAAAGATGCTCTTTGAACAAACACTTAGGCGAAGCTAACGAATGACTGCTCTTGGCTGGAGCAGTGGTAGAGGTGAGGCAACTGAGTCCCAGAACAGGAAAATAACTAGCCAGGGTATACTCCCTAAGTAACTTTTCTGCTTGCACTGTCAGTAAATAAATAGACTTGAAGAAGAAAGGGTTTATTCTAATTTATAGGGTCAGAGAGCACAGTGCATCTCAGTAGGAAAGTCATGAACTATGAAGCAGCTAGTTACATTGAAGCAGTCAGGTAGCAGTGAGAGGAATGCAAACACTCCATGCTGTTTTTTCTTTGTATTGAACCTTCGATCTCAGCCCCTGATACTTTAACAGCCACGTTCACCATCTGTCTGTCTCCTTGTTGTGTTAAACCTTTCTGCGTATACCCTGAGTTGTATTTCCCAGTGAAGGATTATTTAGCCTTTGAGCACGGATGTGAGGGTTAAGAAAATTGAAGTGTGACGACCCATCTTAGTAAGAGTGTCACCATTCCCTGGGCGGGTATTCGGGATTCTAACATGTATAAAGTGAGCTGAGTTCCGGCTTGCCTCCATCTCTGCTTCCTGATTCTACATGAGATGTATAGACTTTGTTGCCGTGATGGACTGTAGTCTTGAACTGAACGTTGAAATAAGTCTTTCTCCTTTGGGTTGCTTTTGTCGGGGAATTTTACGACAGGATCAAGAAGAGAAACTCAGATACACAGTGATTATAAATCATGTTAACTTGTTAATGAAGATTAACCACTCAACCAGTATAGAGACTCAACCTCTACACTAGCGGCTTTGCATACCTAGATGACTGACTTGGGTGCCTGTTAAGACTCAAATGAGAAGAACCCCAGAATTTAATAGTCCCCGGGAGAGTGGAGCCCAGTTTATAATCCCAATCAGTAGCTCAGATCAAACTCCCAACACTGTTGAATCATGAGCCCTGAGAGGAAAGTCATTAGCGCGAAGGCTTCCAAATTCCTCCCCTCACCTCATCCATTGTCCAAGAAGCTCCTCTGTGTCAAGGACTGTCGAGGAACTATTTCAGGGTCTGGATCGGGTCATGGAAAGATTCTTCAGCTTTGCCAAAATAGCAGTAACCAGATGACTGTCACTTCTGGGGTATATGCTTCAAGATTACAAATGTTGTTTGTGATGGAATGTATTCTGTATTTTTTATTATTTGATATAAAGGCTTCATGATATGAATGAGGTGTTATCCTGATTAGAAGCAACAATGAACTCTTCAGGCAGAGACATGCTCAAGTTAGCAGGGACGTTGTCCCGGAGGTGCTGAGTTAGTTGCTAAGTTAGAAGTTGACAAGTTTGAGGTGGGTTACTCCGAGCCCCTGCTCTCACTCCCAGAGTCTTGGTAGACTGATCCTGGGCTCCAAGAGTCAGAAGGTTAGGCAATCAGCAAAATGCTGACATGGTTGGCATGGAACCTGTGGCTCAAGCTCTCTATGATCTATCCTTTGATTTTATAATTTGAAAAAGAATTAATCAGAATTATAAACTATGACTTCTCAGTCTGCATGGTGTCTGGTACAGACTCATAGGGAATAGAAAAAACAATGTCTACCTCTAGTTTATCTTTAAGTAGACCTTCTTGAAGATTATATATATATATTTATTATATATATATATTCATTTATATTACAAGTTTGTTTGAAAGAAATGTACCAGTTGAAAAATTAGCACTATAAATTGGGTTTATTTTCATTAAAAGTTAGAATAACTTCCTACAGCTTACCAAAATGCAAAACAAGATGTCCAGCTTTCTCTACTTCCTCATAGGAGCACACATATTCCAATTTAATAGAAATGAACTGATGAACTTCAATATTTCTCCGTAGCAAATGACCTGTAAAGATTCTTAACTGACATACTGTTTCTTCCTAGGCATGCCTGGGAAGAATAACGTGGCATCACTGCGACAGGCCCCTGGGCAGAACGGCACCAGTTTCCATGGCTGTATTAGGAACCTTTACATCAACAGTGAGCTGCAGGACTTCCGGAAAGTGCCCATGCAAACCGGAATTCTGCCTGGCTGTGAGCCATGCCACAAGAAAGTGTGTGCCCATGGCACGTGCCAGCCCAGCAGCCAATCAGGCTTCACCTGTGAATGTGAGGAAGGGTGGATGGGGCCTCTCTGTGACCAGCGAACCAATGACCCCTGCCTGGGAAACAAGTAAGTTCCAGAGTCTTGGTACTAAGTGCATATGTTAAATTCTCAAAGCAAATCTAAGAGAAGAAGGCAGGAGGTTGGTAGGGCAAGGGCAGGGGATTAGAGAAATCAACACATCAGAATTCTTTCCTCTCTATTCAGACATGTTTTTCCTAACCGCCATACCTTCTGAACTCCTGTATCAACCTGATTTTCATTGCTCTGTTTCTCCTTCACTGTAGATGCGTGCATGGCATCTGCCTGCCCATCAATGCCTTCTCCTACAGCTGTAAGTGCCTGGAGGGCCATGGCGGTGTCCTTTGTGATGAAGAAGAAGACCTGTTTAACCCCTGCCAGATGATCAAGTGCAGGCATGGGAAGTGCAGGCTCTCTGGCCTCGGGCAGCCCTACTGTGAGTGCAACAGTGGATACACCGGGGACAGCTGTGACAGAGGTAAGCTACCTCCACTTCACATTCACAGAGCGGAGTGACATCAACCTCATCCATGGTGAAAGAGACAGAGCGCAGCGAGGAAACCCTTGGGTTGGGCGTGGCTTGTGGCTACTGTTGTGAATGGTTCTCATGTGGTAATGCAGTTACCGACAGTGAAAAGCGTTAGACTCCCACCATAATGTTCTTCCATGGCCATCAGAAATCTTACCGCCACTTGTCTTCCTGGGGAAAGTCCCCTTTTCTCTTCTTCAGAGCACAGCCGCCCAGCTCACCTTCAGCCACTACCCGACCCCCTTACTCACACGTACTACTAATGCAGCCTCAGACACAGAGACCACGGAGGTGGTGACTCTGCTCTGTTTCAGTACAGAATCAACTTTGACCTTAGACTCGACTGATTTATCACAGTAAATTATGCAGGTGAGAGGGATGGAAGCCGGCTGAGTTTTCAGGCCACCTCTCCCTGCTTTGTTGCCGAGATCCGAACTTGCCTGGCCTCCAGCTGGCACCGATTTCGGTGCATCAGACAGTACGATGAACGTGCCTGCGGGAGCCTTTAGCAGATGGCTCTTTTTTGAACTACTTCATACTAGCGTAATTTATGAAGTTAGTGGAATGTTACTTGTATTAAGTAACATATTGGATAATATTAAATTCTGGGCCTAATAAATTAAATTGCATTCTCTATGAAACTGCTCCCCGTGGTAAACAAAACCAGCTGTTAGTCCTGTAGAAACAGAAGATGTGTATTTTTTTTCTCCTCTTTTTTTTTTTTGCAATAAAGGAAAGGATTTAGGAATCCAATTTTCTTGTCAGAACAAACATGTTGTATTTATTGTCTACATATATAGCATTCGCTTTGCTGGAAATAGAGGCCTAAAAAATGGATTTTCGAAGAAGACTAGATCATGCCATCAGTACATAAAATGGGTCTCAAGCATCACACTAAAAATGGCAGTCACTAGGTGGAAGGAAGGCCAGTGACAAAATGGAGATCTTGACTTTTCTTTGCTCACTCTACCAAACCTACAGTGTCTGTCTTTTTAAAATGCTCTTATTTCCTTGCTTTCTAGAAATTTCTTGTCGAGGGGAACGGATAAGAGATTATTATCAGAAGCAGCAGGGTTATGCCGCCTGTCAGACAACAAAGAAAGTATCTCGCTTGGAATGTAAAGGCGGGTGTACTGGTGGGCAGTGCTGTGGACCTCTGAGGAGCAAGAGGCGGAAATACTCCTTTGAATGCACAGATGGATCCTCGTTTGTGGACGAGGTTGAGAAGGTGGTGAAGTGCGGCTGCGCGCGATGTGCCTCCTAATTGCATTTCTGGCAGCCTCCATCTTGGGCGAAGGTTGTACACTTGTTGACCATGTTGGACTAATTCATGCCTCATAATGGAAATATTTGAAATATATTGTAAAATACAGAACAGACTTATTTTTATTATGATAATAAAGACTTGTCTGCATTTGGAAAAAAATAATAAAAGACACACTTGTACTAAAGCTTCCCCTACACTGGAAAAGTGTGAAGAAATGCCACACTTGGAGGCATTAGTGCAGCGGTGGGGACCATTGCAACACGGAGCCATCTCTGGAACATGCTAATACTAGCAGAAGCACATATGCAGGGGCCTAAAACGGGACTGTACACTCACAGGTGATTGCCCAGAGCATAAACCCCATGACCCCCTTCCCTTCAGTGCAGTTCACAAGAACACTTCAAGCACAAGCATCTCAATGAGACTCTGAGGCAGGGGAATGGAAATCCAGAATCTGTAGAGAGAGCCAAGGGATGAGAAATATTTTGTGCAAGATAGAGAGTGTCCTGACATCTGGGTTTCATTCAGAAGAGAAATGGGTGTGGAGTGTTGAGATGTATTTTATTGTCTTTGGCAATGATAGCATATCAGCAGAAACAGCACACGAAGGTGTTTATCTACCACTTTCCAGTATTAAATTTTTGTAATATAAATGATAAAGCAGATGATAAAGAACCAATAGATTATTGATAAATAAAAAATTAGTAATAATATGAATTTTTGTTTCTATGAGTTCTAAATAGCCCTATACAGTATTCGTTTTCAACGAGGAATATTTATTGTATTAAAGTACATTGTACTTAATGATTTAGGTCATCACTTTGGACTGTTTCTCGATGCTTTAATATATATTAATTTATAATTATCCTGATATTTTTGTACATTTTCAAACTTTAAAAAAATCAGGATTTTTTTTGGCAATAGAACTAACATAGGATGTTATTTTGTTATCTTGGGATAGGTATATGTTGTTCCTTTGGCTGACCTTGACATCTAACCACGGATGTCACTGACCTGTGGTCTCTTTCTGGACACTTACAGAGGGTTTGCAAAGGCTGTGAGTAGAGACAGCAAGTGCACCCATCTGCTACATGTCCTCACAGGGAGAAGGAAATTATCTGTAGCAACGGACAATAGGAAGTAGATGTTTTACCAATTAATTAATAGATATTTCCCTGCCATGTTTTGGGGAAGGGGGAAGAAGAAAGACTGTTATGTCAAAAACTGTAATTTTTCTCCAAATAATAAAACTCCTTGATTACCTTACTGCTCCCATGTTAACAAGTTTGCTTCTAAATTACAATGTAGAGTTGATAATGATTTGTAGTAGACTGTGCTCTTCCTTCATGAAAACTCCAGGGTGCCCTGTGAAGATGAAGATGTTTCTTTAAAAGAAAAACCCTTTTTAACAATGAGAATTATGCTTTGTCTTTCTCCAGACTAATATCGGTTGCACTACTGATGTTTGTAAATTAAAAAATATCTACTTCATTAACAGCTTGTCCGTTTTCTTAGAAACCACATTGCTTCGCAGGTGTTTCATTATGAACTTGATACAGTGACACGAAAGGAACCAGAAAGGAAACTTATACCTTTATGTTAACAAAAAAAAAATTGCTTTGAAATAAACATATTGTCACATCTAGAGGCTGCATAAAAGAGATAAATAGAATAACATACTCTTTGCCAGGGAAAATGCATATTAATAATATTCAATTAAATCCCCCTACCAAAAGGAATTATGAGATGAAACGGAGCTAATACAATGGGTCTACTTTGGGTCTCACTGCCTTTACTAGAGCCAGCTATGCAGAAGTAGCAACAGTTCAGATCAAGGAAGAGTCATTGTCTGGGCAGAATATTAATACTTGACCTCTACTGTATGAGGGATTTATCTCTTTTTAAAACACTCATGTGTGCATGTGTGTGTGCACACACACATACACACACTAATCCGGGTATGACCATCAAATTGTATTTCTGTACATACTTAAAATTACTTTAGTTGTATTATATAAATATTAAATAACCATTATAAAACATTCATGGGTTCCTATGAGTTGTTTCCTTTTTCAGATGTATTGAATCATTCTTTACGCAAGGAGTCAGCTACAAATATAACCAGATTTCCACTTGATGCACCAGATAAACAGCATCCTAATGGCTACTGTTTGCAGATTGCTTTTTGTAAAGCAGAACCTATGCTATGAGTTTTATATGTAAAATCTCTCTCATCTATGAAAGTAATTTGAATCCCTGTGTTCCCTAGTTAATAGCAGTATATAAGGTTGGAAAACAAAGAAGCAGGACCCAGTACTGGGCAGTTCATACTAAGGTGTTTGCTAATGATCCAGACATCGTTCAGTCACAGATTGCCTCTGCTTGGGGCTTGCTGAGTCTTGAAGCCTTACTTTCATGATTATTGATCATATGTTTAAAACCCTGAACTAGAGTTTTGACATTTTGCTCCTTTTTAAAAGAAAAAAGAGACATCATAATGGTTTTCACATGATTTTTTTTTATTCTTCCTGATTATAAGGTCACAAAGTTCTATTTCTGTGTGACTGGAGCAGTGTTAGCTTCACAGGGGTCATATTTTAATATTTTAGTTGCTTTCCAATCATGAGCATTGAAGAGAGAAAATCCCGCAGCCAGAAAATTATTTGCAAATCACACAAATTAAGGGCAATCATTCATATTAAAAAGTGCTCCTGATTTATAAGCCAATAACCACAACACTTTTTTTTAATAAAAAATACTATCCTACAGCTTTTGTGATAGAATTCAATTTTTAAAAATACAAAATTAAAATTGTCACATACAACAATGGCCATTTGTAATTTAATACATAAAGTTCTTAAATATTCCTAGCATGACTGAGATACCATCAGGGAACTGGAATGCAACCAATTGAAGAATGTGATCAGGAATAATAACCACCTCAATCTTGGAAATTTTTTCTGACCATAGACTGAAATTGCTTCTAAACAGTAAGAGAGCGTCTCTTGTTTTAGAGTTATTCTGGGCATTTTTTTAAATGGATGATATTCTTTGTCAGCAACATTTCCATCTGCAGAAATGATTAAAAGACTTGAAATGAATTCAGGACATAAGGATCCTGAACTTTATGGCATCATCTGCCTCATGCACTGACCACTGTTTCTGAAGTGATGCCCGTAAAAGCATATAAGCTATAAAAAATATATGAGTTTCATGCGAGATATTACATAAAGGAGAGGAAGCTATAAAAGTGTAGAAGCTATTTTCTTTCTTAACCCTCTTTGGGTACTCGCAGTCATTTAACAGATGATTTCTGTTTCCTGTCTCCTATCAATTCCTAGAAAAGATGGCTGATAATTCATGTCGTTTCAGATAAAGCAGACAAGGTCTGGCATATTAGAGCTTTTGCTTCACGGATACGGGCTGAAGCTAGACTAGGTAACTATTCTAGCTAGTTTTTTGTCAATTTAGCACAAGTTAAAGTCATTTAAGAAAAAGGAATCTCAGTTGAGAAAAACAAAAAAGCTTTACCTGTGGACAAGCTTGTAGTACGTGCTCTCGATTTTTGACTGACACGGGAGGGCCCAGATCACAATGGACAGTACCACCTATAGGAAGGTAGCCCTGAATGCTGTAAGAAAGGAGGATGAATAATCCTTAGGGAGCAAAGAAGTAAGCAGCACTCCTCTGGAGCTTCCAGTTAAGTCCCTGCCTCCAGGTACCTACCTTGACTTCCTGCCCTGTCTTCCTCTGATGATGAACTAAAAGATGTGGAAGTTTGAGCTACATAAATCTTCTCCTCCCCAGTTACGTTTGGTTCTGGTGTTTGATCACAGCAATAGGAAGTTAACTGAGGACACATAACATCAGAATGTGATGTACCTTTAAAGATATAGTGGTATGCTAGAAAAAGTACAGCCAGAATATGGATGTTGCTCAGTTGATATAGTACTTGCTTAGCATACCCAAAACCATGGGTTTGAGCCCCTTGATCTAGCTTGTTTTTTTTTTATTACTGTGATAAGCACCACAATAAAAACAATATGTGGAAAGAATTTATTTCTTCTTACAGCTTCCAGTCTATCAATGGAGGGATGCAGCCCAGGCAGGAATGTAAAACAAGAACGATTATACAATATATATTTCATTCCCACTATATAGAGAGCAAAACCCAAACTTTTATTTTGGTATGCTACATTCCTAACAAAGAAGTATATTGTCATCCCTCTGTAGTTATTCTTATGTTGACAAATGACAGTAAGGAATATTTTAAAGCAATTCATGGACTCTGAAATGTGGGCGATGGAAGAGCAACAGTTGTTCCCAGTTCAGTTGGTAGTTGAAGCCAAGGAAATGGGTGAACCAGTTCAGAAACATGTCAGAATGAACCAGAGGAGTAACATCTGACTTCGAATAGTGCTTACATTTTCAAAGGAATAATCTGATTCCAGAATGTAGATAAAAATGGGGTAATTCTAACACAAGCAGGCATGACTAGCTAATCATATTTTAGGGACAAAAGAAGATGGCCAGGGGGCAACTGGAAAATAAGATGGGATCATATATTTGCCCTTTGATGGGTCAAGCAGGAAATGAAGTAGAACCACAAAACACTGCTTACTGCTTTGTTCTGCATAACTCCCTCAACTGCTTGCATATTGTTATACAAGGAAGACCACTTGCTCAGGAGTCCAGCGGCCCACACAGGGTTAGACCTTCACAAGTCAATCACTAAGCAAAATGACTTACAGACTTTCTTACAGGCCAGTCTGGTGGAATTATTTTTGCAGGTGAATTCTCTCTTGCCAGATGACTCTCACTTGTGTCAAGTTGACAATATTCAAATGAGCATTTTTGTCATGTGATAAAACCAATGTTGGTGGTGCTGTGTTGGTGCTGTAGCAGCTCTCCATCATGGGAGGCAGGATGATCGGAAGTTCAAGGTCATCTCTGGCTACATTAAAAAATACAGCAGAAACTTTCGATCACATAATTATATAGCAGGAGGTGGAATGGTTCCGTGAGAAAAGGGCTTTCAGCTATGTCATAAAGGATACAGTAGAATGCAGGAAGGAAGATTGTATGTAGACGTATTGGGTTAGGTTGTCCAAGGAAAGCAGCTGGCCCATAAAATTACAGAGGAAGAAAACTTTGTGCTATAATGGAAACTAAAGAATCTGATGGGTCCTACATGTCGCAAGCACTGGTTCTATGTGTGCAATGCAATAGTGTCTACTTACTGTGTGCTTTCTTCTATTGCATTCCTATTTGCAGTGGATTTTTCCAAATAACAAATGAAAGAGATTTGCCTTTCAAAATACTGGCTTCTTAGCTACACCTAATTCAGTTATTTGCAACTTCCAAAAGAAATGCCTCTGAAAAATGACGTCGGATAATAGCATCAAAATCTTGCAATAATAATGTTTCCCAAATCTCATAGGAGTGTTCACAAGCTGAAAGGCTGATGAAGCTAAATTGAAACAACTGCTGACCAATCTGTGCTGTGAAACTCATAACTCACTCTCCCTTTCAGTTTATACCAAAGTCCGACACTCAGAGAAACTAAGTCAAATAGCTACCTCAAGACCTAGAAATATCACTCTTGGGCATATACTGAAAGGATGCACGTTCATATCACAAAGACATTTGCTCAACTATATTCATATCAGCATTCTTTGTAAAAGTCAGAACCTGGAAAAAACCTAGACGCTCGTGAGCCAAAGAATGGATAAGGAAAATGTGGGATATTTACACAATGGATTATGACTCAGTGGTTAAAAACTATACAGTGACATATTGAGATCTGCAGGCAAATGGATGGAACTAGAAAAACCCATCCCGAGTGAGGTGACCCAGGCCCAGAAAGACAAATATAGTATGTACTTGCTCGTAAGTGGATAGTAGACATAAAGAAAAGGATAAGTACCTTTAGTGCATAACCCCTGAGAAGCTAGGTAACAAGGAGGGCCTTAAGAGAGATGTGATGTGTACCCCTGGGAAAGGGAAAGAGATCAAATCTCCTGAGTCAATTTGGAGCACTTGACAAGAAGGGGATGGAGGGTTGAAGGGCAGGGGGAGGAAAGCATGAGGGGAAAGGATGGTTGAGTTGGGACAGGAACAGAGAGGGAGAGCAAGGAAAGAAATATCTTGATAGAGGGAGCCATTATGGGTTTGGGAGAAACCAGATGCTAGAGAAATTTCCAGGAATCCACAAGGATGACCCCAGCTAAGACTCCAACCAACAGTGGAGAAGGTGCTTTAAGTGACCTTCCCCAGTAATCAGATTGATGAGTACCTTAGTTGTCATCATAGAACTTTCACCCAGTAACTGATGGAAGCAGATGCAGAGATCCACAGCTAAACACTGGGCTGAGCTCCCAGAGTCCAGTCAAAGAGAGGGAGGGAGGAGGGAGTATAACATCAAAAGGATCAAGCTCATGATGGGGAAACCCATAGTGACAGCTAACCCAAGCAAGTGGGAGCTCACTGACTCTG